AAATCACTGTTTACAATCTTATGGAAAGAAGACTATTTTTACATGAAAAGAAATTTAAAATCAAGGTATAATCATATGAGGAAGTAGCTGATCCCATTAAAGAGGGCTCAATACAGGCACATTATATATAAAATCAAGGTATATGTAGAAACTTTATCCATCACTCTCATGTCACTTTCATCTTCGTTGTTGGTTTCTTGTCACATTAAGTTTTCACATACTTCTCCATCATCACAACATTTACAGAGGTCAGTACAATTTAGCCCTGCTTGGACACATTGGCATCGATTGTTTTTACATTTGTCGTTAGCACAGACACATATAACCAACGGGATTATTGCTTCGGGGGCCGGCGGCAATGGGGTCATGACTGGTACCCATGTGTTTTCCTCCAACCGCCATCCATAGCCTTCAGGTCATGGTAGCTCTGGGTTACAGATGATATCGCAGTTCACATACCCAGGTGCAGATCCAGGATTTTCCTCAGGAGGGTGCGGGCCTCTCAGAAGGGGGTGCACCCAACAAAAATCATTACAATGAAGATACAAATTTAGGAAAGTATTGAAAGAAATAGATCTCAGGAAAGGGTGCACACCCCCTGCACCCACCAGCTGGATCCGCCTCCATGCATACCATTGCTTGGTGGTGAGCACTCAAGATGCATTCTTTCAGGGCTGATTCTGTAGGTGGTAGCCGCTCAGATTAAGACTGCTTATTCTTGAATAAGATCCATCTGCAATTTAAAGACAGCTGTTTTGGGTAGATACAGCTTACACACAAATGTTTCAATTCCCAAGATGGTTTCTTCAGATGGGTACTGTGTTGTCCCAAGAGCTGCTAGGGCAGTGATAATATCACTTTCTTGTAGTACCTAGAAGGCCAACTTTCCTTTGCCAGAAAATGCTCCTGTATTGTCAGCTCCGCTCAAAGCATGAAAACCTTGTAATGTCAAGGTTTTTCCTGAGCCAAGAGCTTGGACAATTGCCTTTAATTGGATCTTTCGTCTGCGTTGGCTGGTTCCAGTCACAAAAGATATGTCGTCACACAATTCAGCGTATCTTCTCAAGGACAGTACAAAATTCGTCTGAGTGAATCTCAATTTCTGTTGCACCATCTTCATACAGTAGCATTAACAGCGAGCTGGTAAAGGAAAGTTGGCCTGTTTCAAGGTACTACAAGAAAGTGACCAAGATATCATCACTGACCCCTACTGTGGGACACCACAGTACCCATCTGAAGAAACCATCTCGGGATTTGAAAAATTTGTATGTAATCTGTATCTACACAAAACAGCTATCTCTAAAGTGAAGAATCTGACATGGATCTTATTCAAGAAGAACCAGGCTGAGAAGTTACCACTTACAGAATCAGCCCTGAAAGAAGGCATCTCCAGAGCTCACTATCAAGCAATGGTATGGAACTGTGACATCATCTGTAACCCAGAGCTACTATCACCTGAAGGCTATGGGTGAAAGTTGGAGGAAAACACATGGGTACCAGTCATGACCCCATTGCCGCCTGCCCTTGGAGCAATAATCCAGTCGGTTAAATGTGGCTGTGCTAAGGACAAATGTACCAACAATCGATGCCAATGCTTCAAAGCAGGACTAAATTGTACTGACCTCTGTAAATGTTGTGATGATGAAGAAGTAGAAGATGAAAGGGAAATGAGAGTGATGGCTAAATTTTCTGCTTACATATACCTTGATAATGTAAAAATTTATAGTATTTTTTCCACAAGATTTTAAATAGTGATTTCAATATGCTTCAAAGTTTGAATAATATTTATCGAACATTGTTTTGTCATTTCAAGTGATACAGTAATAGTTCTGAAACATCATTTCATTTTACCGCCTCGTTTTCATGTTAAAATGGTCATGTGACAACCTTTGCCTACAGTGCTTGGTGTGTGTGTTATAACCATCACAAATGCCAATCTAGGTGATTTTACAGGCACAAATGCCTTGAAACAACAGTACATATCTAGATATATATGCACTTTAACGATTAGCCTCGTTATTATGTTGATATGATCACGTGACCATTAACGCCTAATGCTGTAGTTAACATGCTAAAAACATCCCAAGTACTATAATTTAGGTGATTTTACATCCAATACATGGCTTGGAACAACTGTTTATATGCACTATAACTATAAGCCTTGTTTTCATTTTAAAATGGTCATGTGACCACCTTAACGCCTAATACTGCAGTCAACATGGTCAAAGCATCGCAAATGGTAATTTAGGTGATTTTACATCCAATACATGACTTGAAACAACCGTTTATATGCACTCAAGTTATCAGCCTCGTTTTCATGTTGAAAAATAATATAACAATAATAAAACTTTAATAAAAAGTCTCCAAACAAAATTCACGACTGTCAACAACACTTTTTAGCATCAGTAGGGTCTAATGAACATATCATTGGTTTGCTTTCAGCAGAAAATTCCTACGGAATTACTTATGCTGCTGGACTATAACCCAAATTCAAATTCCTTATTTAGTGCGTGGGGTATATGCTCACCCATTGGGCAGTCGACATTAGATGGCCAATCACAGTAGCCTAGTTTTGCGTTGAATAGCAATCCAGCTGGACATTCTTTGTAGTCGGCGATATAGTTATTGCAATGAATAAAACCCTTACAACCGTCGTATGGATCTGCGTAAGTGCCATCGTTCTTGAAATGGCAAAACGTTTTGCGATAATCTGTTGATTTGACGTCACATAAACAGTAGCGACAAATTAAAGNCTGCTGGGGCCTCTTTGAAGTGGTAATCACGAATTCTTCCACCAAGATGTGGATCCTTTTCAAAAACACAGACCTGACTTTCTTTCTTTGTTTTTAAGAGCTCGTACGCCATGTACAATCCTGAGATCCCTCCACCAACAACGGTCACCTCGCAATCTAAGATTCCTGGATGGAGGAATAAACTACATGTTCATTGCAATGAATCCTATATAACCCAAATTCAAATTCCTTATTTAGTGCGTATATGCTCACCCATTGGGCAGTCGACATTAGCTGGCCAATCACAGTAGCCTAGTTTTGCGTTGAATAGCAATCCAGCTGGACATTCCTTGTAGTCGGCGATATAGTTATTGCAATGAATAAAACCCTTACAACCGTCGTATGGATCTGCGTAAGTGCCATCGTTCTTGAAATGGCAAAACGTTTTGCGATAATCTGTTGATTTGACGTCACATAAACAGTAGCGACAAATTAAAGAACAATAATATGATACGCGAAGAAAAAAACGACAGAGATTATAAAGGTTCCAGAGTTGTATAGTTAGTTGGCTGACCACACTCAGATTGGTATATACTCGGGCTGGATCAACTTTATTAAAAAGTTCAGTTAATGAAAAAAGGAGAGCGATATATATCAGTGAAGAATACTATTCACAGATACGTACCCTCGTTGTAGAGAGGATCGCTACCTAAAACACCTGCTGATACACATTTGAAAAATATTGCGTTAGTAATTTATAAAATTTTTTAGTATAAAAAAAACGCTTTTAGTTGAGCACTAAAGTTCCTCCCRCCGGGAAAACGGCTTTTCTCCATTACCAATAAACGTGCATTTGTCATTGTAAGAAATGTAGCTYACCATCAACACAGCTTATACCAGAAATAAAGCAAAAATCAAATATTCTACTTAAAAGTCAAGTAATACAAGTAATATAAAGAATTTTTATGAATTTTTACCTCCTGCACTTACGAAGACAACGAACGAGATCAAGAACACCCACTTCATTTTCAAGAACCTTTCSATGATAAGGCTAAGAGCAAAGACTWCTCTGTTATAGTTTGCTTAATTCCTCCGTGCTWMGCATGTGTACTCGATGTTCATCATATCAAGGCGGTGGCTTTGATGCACACTTTGTTTTCTCAGGCTGATGCAACCTTGACGTTCAAAGACTGACGTCGACGTATCTATTGACTGAACAGAAATCKCGCGGGTCTCATTTAAAAAAAMCCACACGCATACAATCTTATCCAGTTTTATTAGCTATTAGTTATGTATTARTTATTAGTGATAATTTACAATCGCAATTGATTTCAAAAGTGTCACAAATCAATGTTGTATATCTTACCGTTAGTTTTTGTGCAACAATCTTTTTGCATCCACCATAAAGCAATATAGTTCTATGATTCACTGTGACCATCATAGATATCTCTGTGGAGATGCGTGCGTACATGCACGTTTTGAATTGCATTTCCGCTGTCATAACCGGCTCAAACCGGCACTGCCATTTATAATTCCAACTCTACAAATTCCATCAAACACTAAAACAAACGCATTCACCAATTCACCAAATCTCATTCAAAACGCATCAAGAGTACTTCCTGAACTTMCAAAACCGACTATATGAAACATTTYRCCTATCATAATATTTGTCGAAACATATGTCAAGGTGTCGATTTGATCAGCAGTGTTTTATTGACTTTGAAAGGAATTGTAGACGTGCAGATGATGTGCAGATGTTTCGAAAAGCTGCCTTCGACAWTCAGTGCAAGTCCTTTACTTCACATTTCAACCAAGAGTTGAACATAAAGTCTTTGTTGTATAAAACYTCTTTACTGTTTAAAAGAGCATTTTRGAATATATACAGCATTACATGGCCAGCGATGTAAAGAATAAAATCCCTACTAGTACCCATGCAATATCGTCATTGTAGGATAATTGTTGAACATCCAGAAGTACATAAAGAAGACACGTTATGAAATTAAAATAAACCGTTCTCTGGTTGAAATTTTTAATAAAATAAGTTTTCTACTCTTATGTCTGCATGCAAGCCTTTATATAATGAAGTAAAAGGTATAAAATTGCAATAATGTATAACTATACTATAAAATAAAAATAAAGTACTACTGAAAAAGAGAGATATATAGTTGCCCTTCAATTTACACATTAATTTAGCAGGACCGGTTTGATCAAAACTCGATCGATCAGCGTGAATCCTGCGGTTGGTTATCTCCACAGGTCGAAGCCTTAAACAATACGGCCCAGCTGTACACGAATCATGAGACGGTGACATTTTTACAGACTATTGTATAGTTCAAAGCTTGTTTAGATGGTAGCGCAGACCATTCAGGAATAGTATCCAGGCCAAATATCAAAGTACCATACAAGTGGATACAAATCATAAGTACCACGATWCCAAAGATGTTCATTCCTAGTCCAGCTTTTGCCTTAAAAGGAAACAARGAGCAAAGAAAGTCAATGGTAAAATAGCTTTTTTGGAGATTTTTGAAGCGRCTAAAAACTGGAAAAAACGCTAATCTGACTGTTTTTAATGCCCTTATTTCAAAACGTCAAGCAATACAAATATCTGACTCATTTATATCTTTAAAAAACAATTGCCCGCGGCGGGAAAATATTTGTTTTGGAATTATCCCACATCAGAGAAATATATATCCCATATGGATAGGTCTATTTGAATTCCAAGTCTTTCCGCAATTTTCGTCCAAATAACCCTTTAAATTAAGATATTTCAAGCGTACGTGTGGTGAAAACAAATGGCCAGGTGCTATTTTTGCCAGAGTTTTGAATGGATATTTCATAAGAATACTTAATAAACAGTACTTTCTTTCGTTARTTATTAAAGAACAACTTGCAAAAGATCTTGAATAGCCAGAGTTGAAATATTGTTATAAGTTCAACTCATGACAAGCATCAGAAATATTAGTTATGTTCATTAAAAAAAAGACCATCTTACCATATCCTTAACTTTAAGATATCCGTACGAGAACACGATGGCGTTAGGTGGSGTAGCAACAGGAAGCATGAAAGCGAAGGAACATGAAATTGTGGCAGGAATCATGAAATACCAAGGATGCACACCGATTGATTGGGCCTGAAATTGAGCTGGAAGTAAATATAAAAAAATACCTGGCAAAGGATAAAACAACAATAGCAGCAGCAACAAAAACTAGTAATAAAAAAGCAAAGGCAGCAAACAATTAAATCAACCAAATTAATCAACCAACTAGCAGTCCCACAGAATAATGCGAGCTTAACAAACAACCAGYAACCAATCAACACACGGAGCTCATAAGTCAACAAGGGCCCCGCCAAAAATAGTCCGATTTGTGACAAGTCTACGTAGGAGATAAAGTCAAATACTATATTTAGCAAAAGCAGAAGTACATAACCAGAAGTGTCCATCTCCGCATTGGTATCGCCACCATCAGATRTCCCGATAATCTATTTTTAGACAACAAATCACAACGCGCGCACATATTACACGGCACCTGATTGGTCCTTGTTGATCTACTTCAAGAGCGGACAAGAAAGGCAGGGAAAATTATATAGTCGATGGAGGCGTACGAATTGAAGTTCGCATTTACGAGAATTTTACACCTTTTGCTGAACAATCATTTTTGAATTCTATAGAAAACATACTTTACTATATGATCAATGTAGCAAAAGTATTTCAAGAGCAATATGGTCTGCAAAAACTAGGGAAAAGTTCAGACAAAGATGAAGAAAAATGTAAAACAGCGTGCWAAGAAAAGGTGTAAAGTAGCTTCCTTAATACAGTCATATAGAGCTGGACTTAAACAAAGCCAAAGGTAAAGTAATTTTCGACTTTTAAGGTGAGATGGAAAAGCTGTAAATTTTCAGGTAGGCGGGTTTTTTTTTTGAAATTCAAGTTAGCTATCGATATTTCTTTGATGACTTTTCTTGTTTGTGGCTTTTCACAACTTATCTTGTTTATTGT